CACCCTCTTGCCGCTCTATTCTACAGACTTTTCTTTAATCCTTTCTGGGCTGTTCGGCTCTCGTCCGCTAAGCCGATTTATTGCAGAGAAGGAGAACTCGCCCCCTCCCCCTCCGCTCCTAACCCTCTGGTCTCCTCCTTCCTCACATCACAACTCTGCTTGCTTGTGACAACCCCCCCCACACACACACAAAGTCGTACTCCATCCTACCCCCACCCTCCACATGTCCCTGTCCCTGGACTCTCCCTTTCCCAGCCGGATGGAGGCATACACCCTCCCTCCCTCCAGAGAGACGCTTTCCGGAGGCAGGGCAGGTGGGGCCCATCCTCAGGGTCTGCCTTGCTGAACACGGGTCAATCAATGATCCTCTTGTGGGCTTCCTTCCCGGTTTCAGGGTCCCCAAACTTCCCCAATTAGGGCTGCCCCCTCTCCTCCCCCAGAAACCTTTGCAAATGGGGGAGGGGCGTTTCCCGACCAAATCCACCCCCCACCCCAACCACATCACCCGTTTTGCATCCAGGCAGGAATGGGGAAGGAAGGTGCTGGCTGGTTCCTTCTAGCAGAGATGAAGCTGTCTCATTCTTATCAGACTTGACACCTCCACTCCCCCACCTGAGAAATGGGAGGTTAGATATCTACCCACAGATGCAGGCACATACACACTCAACACCCAGCCTGGGTCCAAGTGGGCCTTGAGGTCTTGAGCCAGCCAGAAGGGGATAAGAGTACCTAGCTCTTGGGGTGAGCTGGGGGTGATGGTATGTAAGACAGCTCACAGATGGACTTGACCCATGAGGAGGGAACAGGAGATAGACTGGCAGGACCTCAAATGCCAGCATAACCAGGGGTGAAGCTGGGTCCAGAAGCCAGGGCTCTGGCCCTTGGCCCAAGGCTCTTTCTAACACCTTCTCAAAGGAAACCTTAGCTTCCCTAGCTCTGTCAAGTTGCTGCTCAGCCTTTGCTCATTTTTTCCATCTTGGCAATGGGCACACACAGCCAGTTCTACCAGGTGCAGCCCTTGGGAGGGGGGTGGACCATGGTCAGTGACCCAACTGAGGCTGGGAGAGAGATGCAACACTGACCCTTACATCCAACTGTTCCCCACCTTTGCCCTCCCCAGCCTCAGCACTTGGCCTCAAGAGGCAGCCCTCTGCAGCTCAGGCTTGCTCAGTTGCTTGCCCCGAGGAAGGAGAGATTTGCATTTATGAAGATCCAGGCGCATACGTTCACCTGACAGGCTTTAGAACGATCCTCTCAGTAAAATAATAATAATGATCGTAATAAACCCTTATAAATAGGTGTTTGATTACAGTTTGTCCCTACGTAGGAATTTTTTTTTTTTTTTGAATCAGACTAATTGGTTGCCAGCCTGATTGGGCTGGATATGGCTTGGAACACTGGAGTCTCAGGCCTTTATCCTTTAACTGGCTGTTCTTTGCTCCCTCTCACCCTCCCCCAAGTCTCCCTCTTTCCAAGTTGCTGAGGTTGAGCTTGAGGGCATCTCCATCCCTCCCCCCCAAAACCCTCTTTCTGAACCATCCCAGTCACTGCAGGGAGCACAGTCCCCCCCACCACCACTCCTGGCTCAGGAAAAAGCTGTCCAGCTTTCAAAGCCTTCTGTAGGAGAGGGTGCCTGACTGGAGAACCTGGAGCTGGAGGCCCCTGGAGCTGGGCTGAGCTCACAGGAAACACTTGTATTCCTGTGTGAGCACTCCTGCTCCCTGAGCCTAGCTGCATAGGGTTAGGCAATATTTCCTCGGCCCTGAGTGGATCAGGCTTCCTGGTTACATCTACCTAGCCCAATCACTGAGGGAGAGATTTGAGGAGCAGGTCGTGCCAGTGGCACCACCCTGGGTGATACTTCCTCCCTTGTGGCATTTGGGGGAGATTCTAGGAAAGAAGGTCTGAAACCAAGAGAGTATTGCTTCTATGGCCAAGAGTCTTGGGCCTAGAGTTTGGAGCCCTTGGATGACCCTCCTTCAACCCCCAGGGCATCACGTCACCCTGTATTAAAAGTACTGGGGCATCCTCATCAGTGGCACATAGTAGGTCTTCACTGAGTATCTTGGATGGGTGGCTGAAGAGTGAATTAATCTCTAAATGAGGGCAGATTACCTGCTGCTCCTTAGCTTGGAGCTCAAGCTGACATGTGGCAGCTGTGGCTGTGAACCTTCTCCTAGAACCTGGACTGGGTATCCCAGCTGGGCCCAGAGAGACGGCATCCTGCCCAGGTGCATGGCTGGTTTCCCCAGAACAGGCCAGGCTGCCACGTGCACAGTGATTACCATATAGTAATAATAATATAATAGCAACACCCACCTCCCTGCTCTCCCAGCAGCTCTGCCCCTACAGTTCCATAAAACACAGCTCTAGAATCTTTTCTTCTGCTCTATCAAAAGGCGACACTGAGCACAGAGGACACAGGGTGACTTAGCAAAGGGAAAGTCACCCAGGGCCACCATAGGCTTTTAATTTCGTTTCTGTCTCCTAATGGATCTGTCGCCTGAGGAGGCAGGGCTTCCATTTTGCTGTCCTGGCACTCAGACCCATGAGTCACAGTGGGGCACGCCTCTTCCTTGGGCACCGGCCCAGTAAGAGCGCTGGGTTTCTGGGCAACCAAGGCACAGCTGTCTGGCAGGCTCAACTGTTATCAGGGCCAGATCCTCTGTCCATGGTGCTGATCCAGGCTCTCCCGACAGAGGGCGCTAGCGCACAAAGCAAAGCTTCTAGGCCGGACTCCAGGGACTGCCCCTGGAGGTCACAGGGGCGCGGTGTGATTTCCAGTATTATTGCCTCTCCCGGTCTGGCTCTGCAGGTTTGAGGGAGACTCCTTGGTGGTGTTAAAAATATGGGGAGCGCTAGGCATTTATAAAAATGCCCCTCTGTGCCAGGCACCGTTAGAGTATTTAATGTCTGTAACAGTAGCACATCAACGGGTGGTATCATTCCTATTTTACAGATGTGAAAACTGAGGCTCATAGAGGTTAAGTAATTTTCCCAATGCAAGACCTAGATGTGAATTCAGGCCAAGCTTCAAGACCAGAGCTCTTAAACACCCTCCTTGGCACACACAGGCACACACACACACACACACACGCACACACACACAAACACACACACACACACACTGGCCGACATACACACCAGTGCACCTGCATGCACGCACATGCCAGATCAGAAAGCTTTCATGAGTCCAGTGTATCAATCACTCTTATCCCATCTAATCATCATGAAAGTGCTCACAACAACTTTATGTATGACAGGTAAGGAAACGGGGTCTAAGAGAAGTGTGAAGAATCATCTAGAGTGGGTGAGGACAGGAATCGGGTGTGGGCCTCCCCCAAAGGATCTCTCTCTCTCTCTCTCTCTTCTCTCTCTCTCTTCTCTCTCTCTCCTCTCTCTCTCTCTCTCTCTCTCTCTCTCTCTCTCTCTCTCTCCCCTACACTCTTCTCTCTATACTGGGAAGAAGCACCCCCAGCATGCACCCCAGACAGGACCTTCTATTGTTTGATTGTTTGTCTAAATTAAACACAGCTGAAAGTGATGAGGTACCACTACTGACCCAAATCGATTGCAAGTCGGCTGCTTGGATTTAAGTTCCACCGTTGCAACTTTAACAGACTTGGCCCCACCTGCATTCTCTGGCCCCCACTTACCTCCCCAGAGGGGAACCTACGGCAGAGTTCTATAAGAATGTCCCTAGTCATGTGCCAGTGGTGGCGGGGGGCTTGGTATTATTTATCCAGAGGTGGGAATTGGAAACCAGCCAGGTCTTCCAGAATCTGGAGACCAGTGTTCCCCAAATTCGGTGTCCAAGACCATTTGAAAACTTGTAGTGAAAATTCTTTGCAAGAGGGTTCCACAGTAAATATGTGTGAGAAATGCTGGCTGTGCCCCTCTCAGTTCACAGGAGCACGTTAAAGGCTCTGAGGAGTCCTGTAACTCTTCCTTTGTTTCTTTTATTTTGTGGAAATCTGCATTTGTTAAGCCTCACAATCCTCTTCCCATAAATTCTTCTTAAGGCCTGTGAGCCAGGGTTCTGCAGAGTGGAAGTACAGCTCTGGACACACCCCAGGTCCCTTTGCAGATAGGTATATGTAACAACAACAACTATAACAAAGACCCCTGCCTACATGTACCAAGCACTTGCTATGTACAGAGTGCTAGTTTAGGTACTTTCTTTGCTTGTGCTAGTTAATTGAGTCCTCTACACAGTCCTATGGAGCAGATTCTATTTGTAGGTCCACAGAATAGATATGACTTGGAGACGTGGAGAGGTGAAGCCCTCTGCCCAAGGTCACCTGTCTGGCACATGATAAAGCTAGTATTTGAATACAGATGCTCTCTGCTGACTGGTCTCTTGGCTTCCAGATCTACCCTCTCAGTCTACTCTTCCCAGTCCACCCTCCCTGGGTCTGCCCTCCATGGAGATATCTGCCCTCTGTGCACACTGGGCTCTGTAGGCCATGT